TTTATGTCTTTTTCAATTACTTTCATGAGTGTTTTGTAGTTCTTAGAGTATATATCCTTTAGCACTTTGGCTAGGTTTATTGGGAGGTATCTTATGTTTTTTGGTGCTATTGTAAATGGAATCCTTTCTCTAATTTCTCTTTCTACAGTTGCATTGTTAGTGTATAAGAAAGCAACTGATTTCTGTGCATTGATTTTGTATCCTGTCACATTACTGAATTGTTGTATGAGTTCTAGTAATTTGGGGGTAGAGTCTTTTGGGTTTTCCACATAAAGTATCATGTCATCTATGAAGAGAGAGAGTTTGACTTCTTCATTTCCAATTTCAATTTTTTTTTTAAATTGTCTGATTGCTGTTGCTAGGGCTTCTAGTACTATGTTGAAAAATAGTGGTGAGAGTAGGCATCCTTGTCGTATTCCTGATCTTAAGGGAAATGGTCTCAGCTTTTCCCCATTGAGGATGATGTTCACTGTGGGTTTTTCATAGATGGATTTTATGAGCTTGAGGAATGTTCCCTCTATTCCTATACTCTGAAGAGTTTTAATCAGGAAAGAATGCTGTGTTTTGTCAAATGCTTTTTCTGCATCAATTGAGAGGAACATATGGTTCTTCTCCCTCCTCTTATTAATGTGTTCTATCACACTGGTTGATTTGCGAATGTTGAACCACCCTTGCATCCCGGGGATAAATCCCATTTGGTCATGGTGGACGATCCTCTTAATGTATTATTGGATCCTACTAGCTAGGATTTTGTTGAGTATTTTGGAATCCATATTCATCAGGGGTATTGGTCTAAAATTCTCCTTTTTGATGGGGTCTTTGCCTGGTTTGGGGATTAAGGTAATGCTGGCCTCATAGAATGAGTCTGGAAGCTTTACTTCTGTTTCTATTTTTGGAAACAGCTTCAGGAGAATAGGTATTATTTCATCTGTGAATGTTTGGTAGAATTCCCCAGGGAATCCATCAGGCCATGGACTCTTGTTTTTTGGGAGGTTTTTGATCACTGCTTCAATCTCTTTACTGGTTATTGGCCTATTCAGGTTGTCAATTTCTTCCTGCTTCAGTTTTGGCAATTTATAGGTTCCCAGGAAGGCATCCATTTCTTGCATGTTGCTTAATGTATTAGCATATAGTTGTTGATATTAATTTCTATTGTTCTATTACAGATTGTTTCTATTACCTTAGTGTTAGTCATGATCTCTTTCCTTTCACACATAATTTTATTAATTTGGGTACTTTGTTTTTTCTTTTGGATAAGTCTGGCCAGTGGTTTATTGATCTTATTCTCTCAAAGAATAGGCTTCTAGTTTGGTTGATCTGCTCTACTGTATTTCTGGTTTCTAATTTATTGATCTCTGCTCTAATCTTAATTATTTCTCTTCTAATGCATGGCTTAGGCATCGTTTGTTGCTTTTTTTCCTAGTTCTTTAAGGTGTAGTTAGTTGATGAATTCGGGATTTTTTATTTTTTTGAGTGAGGCTTGGATGGCTATGCATTTCCCCCTTAGGCCCGCCTTTGCAGTATCCCATAGGTTTTGGACCGATGTGTTTTCGTTCTCATTGATTTCCATGAATTGTTTAAGTTCTTGTTTGATTTCCTGGTTGACCTAAACATTCTTGATCGGAGTGGTCTTTAGCTTCCAAGTGTTTGAATTTCTTCCAAATTTTTTTCTTCTGATTGAGTTCCAGTTTTAAAGCATTATGGTCTGAGAATATGCAGGGAATAATCTCAATCTTTTGGTATCAGTTGAGACCTGATTTGTGACCCAGGGTATGGTCTGTTCTGTAGAAAGTCCCTGTGCACTCAAGAAGAATGAGTATTCTGTTGTTTTAGGGTGGAATGTTCTGTATATATCTCTGAGGTCCATCTGGTCCAGTGGTTCCATCAAAGCTTTTGTTTCTTTGTTGATTTTCTGTTTAGATGATCTGTCTACTGCTGATTGTAGAGTATTGAGGTCTCCTATGATTAACGTATTGTTATCAATATGACTATTTTGGTTAACAGTTGGCTTATGTAGCTGGCTGTTCCCATGTTGGGGGTGTAGATATTTACAGTTGTTAGACCTTCTTGTTGGAGAGACCCTTTAAGAATGATACAGTGTCCTTCTGTGTCTGTAACTACAGTCTTTAGTTTAAAATCTACTTTGTCTGATATAAGAATTGCTACACCAGCTTCCTTTTGAGGTCCATTGGCATGGAAGATGGAGCTCCATCCCTTCACCTTCAGTCTGGTTGTATCTTTAGGTTCAAAATGAGTCTCATGTAGACAGAATATGGATGGGTCCTGTGTTTTTATCTGATCTGCACCCCTGTGCCATTTTATGGGAGCCTTTAGGCCATTCTCGTTGAGAGTGATTATTGAAAGATATGAATTAATTGTCATCATGTTGTCTGTGAAGACCTTGTTTTTACAGATTATCCCTCTAAGTTTCTGTTCTGTATCACTCTTGGGGTCTTCCTCCTTTTATAGAACCTCCCTTAACATTTCTTGCATGGCCGGCTTAGTGGTTATATTCTTTCAGTTTCTGCTGGTTTTGGAAGCTATGCATCTCTCCATCCATTCTAAATGAAAGCCTTGCTGGATAAAGTATTCTTGGCTGCATGTTTTTCTCATTTAGTACCCTGAACGTGTCTTTCCAGCCCGTTCTGGCTTGCCAGGTCTCCGTGGATAGGTCTGACATTATTCTGATGTTCCTTCCTCTGTACATAAGGAATCTCTTCCCCCTATCTGCCCTTAAGATGGTTTCCTTGGTTCTAAGATTTGCAAGTTTTACTATTACATGCCGGGGTGTTGGCCTGTTTTCCTTGATCTTGGGACAGGTCGTCTCTGCCTCTAGGACGTGAATGTTTGTTTCAGTCCCCAGATTAGGGAAGTTCTCAGCTACAATTTGCTCAAATACATCTTCTAGTCCTCTCTCTCTCTCCACTCCCTTTGGGATTCCAATTATTCTGACACTGCCTCATGGTGTCACTTATTTCTCTGATTCGATTTTCATGGATTCTCAGTTGTTTCTCCCTGGCCTTCTCTTTTCCCTTTCTATCTATTATATTGTCTTCCAGGTCTCTTTTTCACTTTTCTGCCTCAGGTACCCTAGCTGTTAGATTATCTAGATTGGATTGGATCTCACTGATAGCATTTTTAAGTTCTGCAAATTCACCTTAATTTCTGCCCTTAGAGACTCTATGTTACCATTAATTGATTTCTCCATTCTAGCCATTGTCTTCACAATTGCTAGCCTGAATTCCACCTCCGACATCTTGGTTATATCTGCATCCATTTGTAAATCTGCAGCATAAGTCATAATCTCTGAGTGTTTTCTATTTTGTGGGCTCCTCCTCCTAGTCATTCTGTGGATGGGTGTTTGAGGGAATGTATAGAGTCCAAATCATTGACCGCAACCCAAACAAGATGCACCTGTTTTATAGGACCTTAGGGTTGCTGGCCTCTTTTTTTCACATCCTGTCTTCTGGGGGGGGGACCTGCTGCACTGTTACTCAGGCAACCATGTTTGGGCAAAGTTGCCCTGCCCCCTGGGGGGCAATGGGGTAAGTGAAAACCGGTTTTGGGGGGCTTTTGTTCTCTGGCGGCTTTCCCTGGCGGCTTTCCACATCTCTTCCGAGAGTCAGAGCAGAAGAGATTGTTTCCAACCCTCTGCCTCAGAGCGGAGAAATTGCAGTCTGCTCTTCAGTGAGTTCTCCTGGCCACACTATCTCCTTTTCTGTCTGTGCTGCTATAAACTGCAGCATCCTGGGTTGTGCACCCCTCAGCAGTGCTCCCGGTCCTCACTTCCAGGTCAGGGCATGTCTCTACCTTTTGTGCTTCTAAAACTGTTTGCCAACCCCAGTTCTCATGTATGGCCCTGGCACTCTGGTTTCAGTCCATGGGGCTGCCCTACAGTCCTTTCCTTATCGCTACTGGTCTGCGAGTATGTGCCCGATCTCTAGCGTGGGAGGTTATTGCTCACCGGCTCTGTAGGGTGCAGATGGCTCAGCTCCCTCCCCCTTCCATTTACCCTCCTCTATTTGCCCATGGAATCACGGCTACCTGCTTTGTACCTTGAAACCAACTGCCTGTGATATTCTGTTTGTAGAGATCCAGATCTATCTTCTTACATCTCAAGCTGATTTTGTGGGTGTTCAAAGTGGTCTGGTAGATATCCAGTTCAATTCCATGGACCGGTTGGAATAGGTCCCCTACTCCACCACCATCTTTTCCAGCCAAAGTTATAGTACTTTAGACAAGAGATAATGAATGTCTTAACTAGGGAAGTGGCACTAGAGGCTTAGAAAGGAGAGCTTGGAGCAACCCTTTTAAGGTAGAACTAATAGGACTAGGAAATTGCCAGATGGAGGAGGAGAGAGAGAATTCAAGGCTGAATGAGTTTTCAAGCTTGGGATACTGGGTAGGTGGTGATAGCAATGAGGAACACAGGCTAATTGTCAATCCCAAACCTATTGGTTTTTCATCCACTCATTTTAATTAAACCAGTATTTATGAGGTTGTACTGTCTATTGAATCCATCCCTCTTCTCTAGTCTCACTCTTTTTGTTCTAATGAAGTCAGTTTCAGAAAAGGGATACAGATGTATGAGTTCAGGGTCATGAGTTTGAGCCCCACACTGGGCATGGAGCCTACTTAAAAATTAAATTAAATGCTATTTTAAAAATATAAAATAAAATTGAGGTTCATTTTCTGAAATTAAAGACCATAGCCATATGTATATTTTTCCAGGGGGAGAGGGTCAGTGATATCCCCAAAGAGTTCTGTGGGTCCCCCAAAAGTTATACCATTAGATTTTCAACCAACAACTTTGTTTTACAGATAGAGAAACTGAAACCCAGAAGAGGGAAGAGACTTGCCAAGGAAACACAGTGAATTAGTGTTAGAGCTGAATCTAGAACCTAGGTTTCTTTTCTCTATTCTTTTCACCATGATCTATGGTTACCCAAGAGATCCCATAATTAAAGTCAGTGCAAGTTTTTAAAAGTTCTAGTTGCTACCTTTGCAATAAAAATTCCAGCATCCATAAAAGCTTTAATGTGTCTCAACCACCCTGAGCTCTCCAGGCTGCTAAGAAATTCACTCATTGTTGGAGTTTTCAATTCACAAACTAAGGTAGAAAAGGAAGCAGAGATTGAAATTCACAATCACCTCAGTTTATTCACCAAGAAAGGGGACACAGTGGATCCCCATTTTGTAAATTAGGAAGCTAAGGCATAGGAAGGTTAAATAATTAGTTGGATTAGTGAGTTAAGGACAAGACTAGAGCTAGAGCCTACCATATCCCACAGGTCAGGTATCATCTTTTTTGAGTTATAGAACTAACTCCTAAGACCACAGAAATCTCTGGGGAGCCAGAAAACTGAATCAGCATCCACAGGACAATACTTACATCTCCTCTGATTAGAAAATACATTTTATTCCCATCCTAATTCCACCCATTCAACCTAACTGCAGGCTCTTTTTTAATTTAAATTCAATTAATTAACATATAGTGTATTATTAGTTTCACTAACTCTGCAGGCTCTTAACATCTGTCTCTATTCTCATAATCCTACCTACTCTCTGTAGCCCTGTGCTGTCTCAACAAGTTGAAAACAAATTCCCAATTTTCATGCACTTTGCACTGGTTACCCAGCAGAGGGCATTCTTTTGGCTCAAAAATCTGTAAAAAAGTCCCTTTTTCTTATACTTCTACAGAATATTCTGGGACAAAAAAAGAAAGCAAGAAGAGACCCAAGAAAAGGAATTCTAATATACTAAAATTGATGCAGACTGAGAAGACAGGATCTGATAAGGGTCATATAAGGGAGAGGTCCTGGTAGACAATATAAGTACAAAGTTAAAAAAAAAAAAAGAGGAAAAACTGGGTGTGCATTGAAGAAGGCAGGTTTTCAAGATCTCTTCCTTACTGCATCATGGAATCCTGGGTAGTGGGTTTGGGAGAAATGTTCTAGACTCAAAAATCGTGTAAGGCCCCAATCTCATCTTGCCTCCATTCTGATCCATTATTTTGTAGTGATGACAGATGACCCCAAATGTCTGATATCAGCTTTATTCCTTTGAAGTCTAAATTCACCCCCTTCAACATCACAGTGATGAAATCAGTCTGACTCCTTACAGTAGATTGGATGTGGTTATGTTGAATGATGAAATAAATACTAAATTTATTTATACTTATGTTTATCTACCCACCACTAAACACCAGCCTCTGTAATTCTATAGAGAGAAGTAATTTCTACAGCAACTGAACCCAGATGGACTCCACTAAGTTATGAAACTGAACATCTTAGTTCCTCCCCCAGTCCAACACTGCATAATTCAGTATTATGTAAGCTGGATTCATACTATACGCAAAAACCTTATGATGTATTGACTATGATCACCTGGTTGCTTTTATGTTCCACCCCAAATCAGGCATGCTTTTTGTATATATAATAATGTAAAGACTATGGTCTCTGGACTAGCCAACGTGAAATTCCTGTACCTTCCAAAATTTTCTGCAGGCTGTTTCGTAGTACATGAATGTTCTCAATGCCCATGAACCTGAAGTGAATGTTGACATAATTGTATTCATTTTCATACCCCTTCCCAGCTGCTTGGTTGGCCATGGCACTCAACTGCAATAGTTGAGGACATAATAGAGCAGATAGGGCAAATGATAAAAGAACAGTGTTCATCAATTTCAATGTCTCATTCTAAACACTTTTAAATCTTACCCATTTAAAAAGAAGATAAATCAGACAGGGCATATCCTGAAATAGAGAAAATTTCACTGAATTTTACATCAGGTATCTTAAGGAACAGAATAGAATAGGGAAAGACAGGGAGATTTCATGATTTTGCTTTATTACTAAAACCCTGCTTAAGAGATTGAAGGATATGGCAACTATGAGGATATCTGATCTGAAGAACTGAAATAATTTTGAACTTCCTATCACAAATAATATTTTCCTGGCTGAAAAGCCTTTATGCCAAGAAACATGTGAAAGTTAAAAATATTTATAGCTAAAAAGCTCCAGAAAGAAGTCTAAGAGCCTCAGGGCTAATTAATATTAAATAGCTTTTCTATTAAAATGTCTAATGCATGACTTCATGAGATAAATAACTTTCACTCACTGATGAAATTGAAATGGAGAAACCAAGAACTGTTTTTAACACTACATTGAGCTTCTAGTAATCAGAATATTTCTAGGTTATATGAAAAATTTGGGCAGGGTAAAGGTTAAATGAGACTTTCAGATGAAAGATAGTAATACGTTAACTAGAAAGCAGCCAAGATACATTCTATGGTGATAACCATATTACTAATTAAATAATTTTCTGTTGCCTGGCCTATTTTCTAATCTCCCAGTACTGTGCATTTCAGAAGGCGGGAGGAACATGTATATGGACAGGGTGTAGTTTATGTAGTAATAGAAAAGAATGCCATTAAAACCTCGAAAGCACAAACTATTCACCTTAACACGTGCAAAGAAAAATAGCCTGTGTGTCAACATATTGTTTAGAATGCAAGACACTTGTTAAAGGGAAAAACATAATCTAATTTTAATCTCATCACACAGACAATGTCACTAAGCATTTATTAAATTAATGACAAATGTTAAAGGGACATCTGTGGAGGCACAAGTAACAGCTACCTAGTAGCAAGGAAGTTTACTATGATTGATGGATGCTTCAGCAAATAAAACAGTAATTAGAGCAGTCTGTACCTACATCTGGGCAGTGCTAGAAAGGCTGATAGTTAGCTATATCATACTAGGAAAAACTCTTCGGGAAAATGTTTGGCAGATCTGAGGAACAGCTATATATTAGCAGACTAATGTTCAAGCAGAGAGGAGACCTAATATTTACTGAGCCACAAGTATGTGCCAGACACTGTGCTAGATCCTTTACATATATTATCTAATTTAATCCTCACTACAGCCCATGAAGATAGGTACTATTATTATTCACATAAAAAATAGGCACAGGAGGCTGGGAAGATGGCAGAGTAGGAGGAACCTAAGCTCCCCTCGTTCCATGGATATCACTAGGTAACACTCCCATCATTGGGATGGCATGCTTTTGTATATATAATAATGTAAAGACTACAGTCTCTGGACTACAGAGTAATAGAAAGTAAAAAAGATAAGCAAATGAAAGAAATAGAATTTTGCAAAATGAGAATAGACTTGGGAATTCAGTGACTCCATGAAACATAATAACATTCGCATTAAAGGGATCCCAGAAGAAAAGATAACAAAAAATGGCCAGAATGTTTGCTTTAAGAGATAATAGCTGAGAAGTTTCCTAATCTGAGAAAGGAAACACATATCCAGTGCCAGAATGCACACAGATCCCCCAAAAAATCAACACAAGGAGGTCCATATTAAGACACATAGTAATTAAAATTACAAAAAGTAGTAATAAAAAAAAAGTTTAAAAGCAGCAAGAGAAAAGAAGATAGTTACATACAAGGAAACCCCCCCCACAAGGCTATCAGTGTATTTTTCACCAGAAACAAGGCAGGCCAGAAGACAGTGGCATGAAATATTCAAAATGCTGAAAGGAAAAAAAAAATCTGTATCCAAGAATACTCTAATCAGCAAGGTTATTATTCAGAATAGAATAGATAAAGAGTTTCTCAGACAAACAAAATCTAAACTTTTCATGACCATTAAACCACCCCTAAAAGAAATATTAAAGAGAACTCTTTGGTTGGAAAAGAAAGAACATAAGTGACAGTACGAAAAGTTGGAAGCAAAAAGAAGTAAAGCAGTAAAAATAACTGTATCTGTATCTGTCAGTCAAGGGATTCACAAAATGAAAGCATATAAAATATGACACCATATACTTAAAACTTAGAGGGAAAGGAGTAGAGAATGGGTTCAAACTGAAGCTACCAGCAACTTAATATAGACAGCTATAGGCAGAAGATGTTTTTACAAACCTAATCATAACCAAAAATAAAAAACCAGTAATACATATGCAAAGAATAAAAAGAAAGGAATCTAAGTATATCACTAAAGAAAGCCAACAAACCATGAAAGAGAGTAAAAAAGGATCAGAGAAAAACTACTAAAACATAACCAATTGTTGTGAATGGACTAAACACTCCAATCAAAAGGAATAGAATGAGATAGTGGATAAAAACCCCAAAGCCATCTATACACAACCTACTGGAGACTCATTTCAAACCTAAAGACACCTGTAGATTAAAAGTGAGGGGATGGAGAAATATTTATCTTGAAAATGGATGTCAAAAGACAGCTGGGGATATGTTGGCTAACCGACCATAATGAAAAATTTTTAAAAATAAAATAAAGCAAAACACACGCACACACACACACACACACACACACAGGACAGCCAGGGTAGCAATACTTATATTGGAAAAACTAGATTTTAAAACAAAGACTGTAACAAGAGACAAAGAAGGACACTATATAATAATAAGAGGACAATCAAACAAAAAGATATAACAATTGTAAATATTTTTTTCACCCAACATAGCAGAACACAAATATATAAAATAGTTAATAACAAACATAAAGGAACTAATTCATACTAATACAATAATAGCAAGAGACGTTTAAACCGCATGTACATAAGTAGACAGATAATCCAAACAGAAAATGAACAAGCATACAATGGCTTTGAAAGACACACTGGAACAGACGGATTTAACAGATACGTTAAGAATGTTCCATCCTAAAACAGCACAATACAAATTCTTCCCTGATGCACATGAAACATTCACAAGAACAGGCCACATATTAGGCCACAAAAGAAGTCTCAACAAATTAAGAAATTTTGAAGTCATACTCTACATCTTTAACAACGACAACACTATCAAACTAGAAATTAACCATAAAAAGAAATCTGGAAAGAACACAAATACATGGAGGTTAAATAACATGCTACCAATGAATGGGTCAACCAAGAAATCAAAGAGGTGATAAAAAATTACATAGAAACAAATGATTATATGAATACAATGGATCGTGAATCTCTACATCAAAAACTAATGATGTACTGTATGGTGACTAACATAGCATAATAAAATTAAAAAATATAAATTAAAAAAAAGAAACAAATGAAAATGAAAACAAAACAATCCAAAATCTTTGGGATACATAAAAGTCAGTTCTAAAAGGGAATTTTATAGCAATAGAGGCCTACCTCAAAAAACGAGAAAAATCTCAAACAAGCTAACCTTACACCTAAAGGAGTTAGAAAAAGAAGAAACAAAACCTGAAGCCAGCAGAAGGAAGGAAATAATAAAGACTAAGGCAGAGAAGGAGCTAAGATGGCAGAGTAATAGGGCGCCTGGGTGGCTCAGTTGGTTAAGTGACTGCCTTCGGCTCAGGTCATGATCCTGGAGTCCCTGGATCGAGTCCTGCATCGGGCTCCCTGCTTGGCAGGGAGCCTGCTTCTCCCTCTGACCCTCCCCCCTCTCATGTGCTCTCTCTCTCATTCTGTCTGTCTCAAATAAATAAATAAAATCTTAAAAAAAAAAAAAGATGGCAGAGTAATATGAGGACCCTAGGCTTGCCTTATCCCTCAATAACAGGTCATTTTGAACACCCAAGAAATTGATCTGAGGACTGAGAGAAAAAGCCACACAACTAGAGGGAGAAGGCCACGTCATGGAAAGTAGGAGGTGCGAAGATGTGGTTTGGGGGAGAAACAGACCATAGATGCTGTGGAGGTGAGGGAGTCCTGAGGTGAGAGAGAGAACAGAGGGCACAAGGTATCGTAAAAGGAAAACACTTCCCCAAAGCCATTGACTGGGAAAATGAGAAGGGCTGGTTTTTTGTGAGTTTTCCCAACCAGCAGGGCTCAAAAACTGGAGATTTCAAGGTCCATGGTGTGGCTGGTATAGTCTTCAGGGTGCTGCAGTGTTCCTTAGAGAAAACAGGTAGGTAACCTGGGGGCAAAGGGTACAATCTGTAGATCACTTGAGACACACTGGGAGAGACAATGCCCCCTTCTTGGAGTGCATCTGACAGAGGTGCAGTTGCCTTTCCAGGAACAAAAGAGCCAGTGAGTGCCATTTCCCTACCCCACTCCTCAGCATAGTTGCAGAGACAACAGGTGAGGAAGGCTAACTGCACACTGGATCTTTAGTGTGCTTTGCTCCAAACCCCCTGCTCCTGTGCTTTCTTGGGTCAAACATGCATCAATAGCAGCATGGCGAGTCCCTCCCCCAGAAGACCAGCTCAAGTACCCAACACACCAGGTCCATAAAGTTTGGAGTTTTAAAACTCAGCCAGTCTGGGAGTTAAGATGGTGGAGAAGTGGGGGAACCCTGGGCTTTCCTAGACCTTTGAACACAGCTGTATTGAGATCAGATCACTTGGAACACCCAGGAAATCAATCTGACGACTAGGAGAAGGATCTCCACAGTTGGAGGGAGACAGCATGGCAGGTGTAAGGTGTGTGAAAATGAACTGAGGGAGAGAACAATCAGTTCCGTAGAGGGGAGGGAATGCTTTCCACAGAGAGAGAAAAGGGAGAGAAAGAGAGAGGGGTTGAGAGAGGGTGGCATCAGGTTCACACAAGACAAAAACCTCTCTGGACAATGACTGGGGAGCAAGGGGTACTGAGTGTCACAGGTTTTTTTGCAAACAGTGTG